GAACTGGTTCAAACCCCTTCACTCTTTTCGTGCTTCATGAAGTCACTTTCTCACCAAGAAAGACATCCCTGAACACTCTGTGTTAACTGCCTCTCCCACACATTTTCCCTACCCTCCCTCTCTTCTATTTTTGTCCTTAAGACTTATCACTTTCCAACAAGTACTTATTTGTTACTTAATTACTGTCTCATTAAGAATGCAAATTCCCAGCCAGGCGGTGGTGGCACATGCCTTTATTCCCAGCACTCAGAGGCAGTGGATCTCTGAGTTTGAGGCCAGTTTGGTCTATAAATCAAGTTCCAGGACAGCCAGGGCTACACAGAGGAACCTTGTCTCATAAACAAAATAAAAAAATAAAGGAAAGAACTGAAGGAGGGCTGGGGTGTGGTCCAGTTGCTAGAGTGCTCTTCTAGAATGCACTGAGCCCAGGTTCCATCCCCAGTACCCAATAAAACAAGTGTGGTGCCTGTGTGAGCTGGAGCAGGTCAAACACTTCAATGCAAGTAATGCAACCCCACAGGGCACTACAGCTCCAAGCTACACTTTGATACCCTTTCCAGTTAGCCCATACATGGGGACATTAGTCAAGACCATAAGAGCATCTAAATGTGAACACTCCTGGTCTGTCCCATATTGAATCCTTTTCCTCCATGCATGACTGTTGTCACTCCTAGTTTGCTTGTTGCCTGCATCACAGGGCATCATAGTGGGGGCAATAAGGGATGATGGGAACACTTCAGCATGATGGAAGTAGTCCCAGAAAACCATGCAAGCTTTTCTGCTTAAGAATACCAGGACTTCCATGAGTTCAAGACCAGCCTAGTCTACAAGATCTAGTTCCAAGACAGCCTCCAAAGCCACAGAGAAACCTTGTCTGGAAAAACTTAAAAAAAAAAAAAAAAAAAAAAAAAAAAGATCACAGATTAAGAGGTTAAGAGCACTGGCTGCTCTTCCTGAGTTCAATTCCTAGCAACTACATGATGGCTCACAACCATCTTTAATGGAATCTGGTGCCTCTTAGAGCATGGAGTCATACATGCAGGCAGAACACTATATAGATAATAAGTATCTTGAAGAAGAAAAAAAATACAGGGACTCAGAAGAAATAAAAGCAAGTGTCTTCCCCACCCCCAACACCAAGAATCTCCTATGAACAAACATGGCTGCCTTCTCTGCTTTGGCAGTGTGTTTGTGAGTCACTCTCTGTGCTCTCCCAGGCTAGGATCACTTCTGAAATGAGTAGTGACTTCATTTCCCTGGAGAAGAAAGGGAGGCTGGCTTGCTGCTTGCTCTTCTGAAGCCTGGGAAATGTCTTCATCTGATTTTTGGTTTTTCTTTCTCCAAATTAAATATAAACCAGAGGCAGAAGTATTTCACTTCCAATCACATGACCCTGTTAGCTGTCTTGTAATCTCTATTCAGTATTGGGAGCTACTTTGGGATTTTACCAAATCCCATGAGAGGTGACAACCCCAATGAGGATGTTCTAGAAAGACATTTAGAATTGTGCAGTGACTACTGACTCTTCCGGAGCCACTTTTGTCCTGTGGCTGAGATGAATGGCACCTGGAAGGCCTAAATCACCACACAGCGGCAAACTGGTATCTCAGAGGACTTAGCCTTGGTCATCCAAACTAAACCTCTACACTACAACACAGACAGCTGCTGGCTGAACTCAGCAAGCAATCCTGATGCTGAAACAAAAGGCAGCCAAGGGAAAGAGATGCCCATCATCCAACTCCACCAGCTGGGCTTACAAGCAGGCTTATGTTGTGATGTGACAGCCTTGACATCTCAATACTACTTGGAGCTGTCTCTGGGCCACACTGAGAAGCGCCAAGATGGAACACTTTGTCCATTCATATTCCCTCACTGAGCAATGGCTCACCTCACTAGAGCATGCTGGCCTGGAACACACTTTGAGGAAAGGCAGAGTGACGCTGGTGATAGTGACAGACCACTTCCCAAGCATGTACCTAGAGGTCTGGTTGCCCTGCCCCAAGACGCTGGTGCCAACTTCTGAGCTTGCTCCAATGTTGGTTTGGTGTTTTCCTTCAGGATCCCATGAAGCAGAAGGAAAAGTTTTCTATTTCAACATTTGTCACCTGGAACAAATCCACAATGACATCAGGGGCTGTCTCCTTAAGAATGACCCCAATCCATTCCTACTTAGCCTGACTTTCACCTTCCCACCAAGCTCCAAAAGATCTCTGATGGAAACGTGAAACCCTCTGCCCTGGCACACTCAGGGAAGCTCCTCATGAAAATGTGGGCTATGGAGCCTGCACCTTAAGAGACAGACCTGCAGCTGCATTTGACAAAGATCTGAGCTCTGGCTGTAGAGGGAAAAGAGATGAGCCGTGCAGAATTTTCATGACAAAAGCCACCAACACTTATCTGGTCCACCCTTGGGTAAAATTTCCTTGTTTTCATTTTTATTTTTTTGAGACAAGGTCAGCTATATAGCACAGGTTAGCCAAGGGTGGACTCAAACTCACAATCTTCCGGCCTCAGCCTTGCACCATACCCAGCCTGGGTTCCGGGTGTAGAGCAAGCTGGGAAGGACCTCACAAATCCTTTAACCCACCCAAAAGGACAGTCCAGACATGCCACCTTCTAAACATACAAGGAAGTGAATGACCTTCTCCAAAGAGATTACTCCAAGTCCACAGCTCACACGGTTTAAAATGAGGCCACCTGTAATCCTGTCAACTCAGATTTGTCCGTTTTTTGAATGCTCCTTCGATACAACCTTCACAGCAATGTCTCTCTACCTCTCTGTGACCATTATCCACCTGACCCAAAATAATGAGTAATATTTTCAGTGTCTGGAAGCAGATTTCCGATTGTAGATGAAACAGAGATGGAATAAAGGTAATTTAGGGAAAAGAGCCCATTTCTAGCACGGAAATGGGAGAGGTCAGGCTCTAGGAAACTACTGAGCCCACGTCAATGCCAGAGTCTTCTGGCTAGCTACAAGAAGCTTTAAAAGTAGTTATAAAGGGCCAAGGTTGGGCAATAATTGATGTACGCTTGGGGATTGCCACATGCCTATGGTCAAGAACTTGTCACTGCTTATTACAAGAGACTACAACTTCTCCAAAACACTTAACCACCAGAACAACTAAGATGTTCAAGACCCTAATGCAAACTTTCCTACCTGCTGGAAAGGCTTGGGCATTTTTACTCAAAATTCTATCATAATTACTGCTTTTCTCCTCTTTGACAGGTTTCCACAGACCCAAACACGTGCTCTCTCTCGCTTTCTCTCTCTCTCTCACACGTGTGTGTGTGTGTGTGTGTGTGTGTGTGTGTGTGTCTGTCTGTCTGCCTGTCTGTCTGCAGTGTGGAAGTAGTCTGTCTGTCTGTCTGCAGTGTGGAAGTAGTTTCTCTCTTTCCACTAGGTGAGACACCAAGGATTGAGTTTAGGTAATCGGACCACTGACCCAGGCCCAAACTTGAAATCGAATCTAAGGAGAGACAGTTTATGTGCTGTCCACAGGGATGCCAAGGTCTTTCGGCGCCAGTTGGATGCCCAGGGAAAGACAGTTATGAGCAAACCCTAGTTAGTTCTCTTTGGCAAGAGTCTTTGTCTTTAGCAGCTAGCTCAGGGGCTCATAATGGTACCAGAGCAGAGCAGCTTGTTTCCCCTGTTGCTGTTGCTTTTAACCAAAGAGAGAAGTCTCCATACAACCAAGCAAAAGACCTAAAACTAGAAAGCTCACCAACCACTGCAGCCAAAGATAATTCATATTAACTGGGATTGATGCCTGTGTGGTCACTGGAAACCAAGTAAATCGGTACACACCTATAATCCCAGTGCTTGGGAGGCCGAGGCATGAGGACCTCAAGTTCAAAGCTTATACAGATTATAGTATAAACACAAGCCAGCCAGGACTTCACAGAAAGACCATGTTTCAACACCCCACCCCCAAATGAAGCTACTGGAAGGCTGAAATAAGGTCCACTTATTGGTTTTGAGATCTGCCCCTTTCATTGTCATCAAGAATTTAAAACAAGACACTGATGACTACATCACTATAGACAATGGGTTTCTTTGTGTCAGTAATGGAAGCTGCTGATGGATCTGGGCTCCATCATTCCCTCTGCTAATGCACTGTGCTGGCTAACACCCTAACCTTTCCAGCCTTAAAATCCTATCGAAGACAGCTCCAGGCTGAAGATGAAGCTTAGTGGTAGGGAGTGTTTGTCTGGCATTTGTGAGAATCTAGATTCAACCTCCAGCACAATAGGGGGTGGGGGTCAACTCAGGGCTTTACACTCCCCCCTCTGTAATTGCCACTGCCTTCTAGGGTACAGCATAAAACAGCTGTAGCCAGTACACCCTGAAACATCAGTCGCCTCTCTGCAATGAAATCTGTATAGGGGGAACTTGGGCCAACTCATGGTTCATAGATCACTGGCCTTTCTCCATGAAGCAACAAATAAATGATCTAGTAGTAACCTTCTAAAAAGAAAAAACTTCAGGAGAAAAGCCAAATGGAGTCAAGTTAATTATGAAACAATTAAACATGACAGACTGTTGGAATAAAACCAAGGAATGTAGTGAGGACAGGTTTCTCAATTGCCCAAGGCAGAAGAAACACTTCCTTTTGTACTAAAATTAGAAAGTCACTGGGAAAGAAACCTAAGAAGGAAAGGAGGAAGCTGAGCACCATTAAGTCAGCAACGAGGAGAGAGGGAGAAAGCGAGTATCTATTTTATTTCTTAGGTAATCTCTTAAGAACTATAGCGCCTACACTTTCTTGGAATTTCAGTGCATTTTTGACCCCCGCACGGGGCATCGGGCAATAGTATGGGAGCTCTGTCAACAAGTTCTCAAACTTCTCAGAATTCCAAGAGCTTGCAGATACCTAGTCGCAGGCTCAAGGGTCCAGGTACAAACAGTAAAATTCGATTTTCACTCGGCAGTCATTTGCCTAGGGAGTGCCTGACACCGTCTGGGACTTCGGTGCGGCAGGCAGCAGGCTGCAACCAACCTAGGCCAGTCTGGTTGGCACCACCAGGTTCTCAAGCGTTGGCTGCCCATAGGGCGAGCCCCAGCGGGCGTCGGCCACCGACGTGGAACAGACTCGGGCACTGCCGGAGGACCCGGCGCCACCTGGCCAAGGGGGGTAAAGGGGGGTTCCAGGATCGCCTAGATGCCCGCGCCGCCTGCCAGCCCCGGAAGCGCCTCCCTCCTGCCCGGGGCTCCGAGGGGCGGGGAGTCTAACGCCCCCTTCCGGGTGCCTCCGCCCGGCCGGCCAGCCGCGCTCCTCCTCCGGGCGGGAATCCTTCCTCCCCCGCCCCTCCCGTAGCCGGGCCCCGGCGCCAGACCCAGTCCCAGGGGGGCACCCCCGGCTCCGGCTTCCCCTCCCCGAGGCCTCTGCCCGTCTTCCCGACCCTTGGGGGCCGGGAAGACCCCGCCGGCAGAGGCCAGGACCCACCGCTCATTACGACATCTTCCTCCCTGGCCTCCGCCGCCTCCGCCGCCACCGAGAGCCTGACACCGCCCGCCTAGCACCCGCCAATCCTGGAGCCCGCCACCGCCCGAGCGACGGCAGCGCTTACCAATAAGCGCTCGGTACATTGGGGACCGACAGCATTTTCAACCAATCATTGGGAAGCATCTAGAGTGACGTTGGTCTGGCCAATGGAGCTGCGAAATGTCACTGATAGACGGTAATGGTCACCAACCGGAAATCAACTGAGGAATGAACGACGTGTCTATTAGCCAACTGGCGGGAGGCAAAGTCCCGCCTGCTAGGAGGTTGATGGACAGCAACAGGAAGCGGGATAGGGAGGGGCTTAGCTAAGAAGTGTTTCTGTATTGGTCGTGGTTGACCTTCCACCCACCTCTAACCCAGAAGATGGGTGATAGATCTGCCCTAAAGCCAATCAGAAGTCCTTAGTATGAGGCCAAGAAAAGCACCATAAAGAGCTTATACATCATTCTTGGTACAGTCTGGCGTGGGGTACTTAGTGTAGCTGTCGGTGCCCGGCGCCGTGTGAGCCCATAGCCTTCGTCTCAGCCCCTCGGCCCCTCGGCCTCTGTCGCCAGTGGAGATTCGAAGCCCTGGCGGGGGTTGGTCATCTGGTTCTTCCCAAAGGGGATTGTCATTATATCATTTCAAGGCCCTGTTGATCTTCGCCAATGTCTCGCAGAGGCCTCTGATACACGCGGCTCCACACTGGCACATCAGAATCGTCTGAGCCGTTTTCAAAAAACAGATCCCCAGGGTCGCTCCTAATCACATTTGCTACTTCTCGGGCATTCCTAGGATTTACATTTTAACCTGCGCCTCTGGTAGGCAGAATTGCACACTGGAATCAGAGCGCCCTGCTTGGTCTCTGCCTCATTTCCTCCCAAATGAGGCACTGCTCTTGGTAGGCATCCCAGGTAGGTTTAACTTTCTCTGCAGACGACTTAACTTGAGCAGGCATGGATGGCATCGAGAGGGAATTCATTCTGGCTTAAATCCAGTGTGCCGAAAAACTACACACTCCTTAGACTCCTATTGGAGCCACAGTGCTCACACCTACACCTCAGGAGAGTGCCTTTTTTTTTTTTTTTTTTTTTAACCCAATCGAGAGAAACGTTTTACCTCCTGTAAGCTAGCATATAAGAGTACATAACAAAGTCAACACTTGAGGGACACTGGTCGTAGGTAGATATAACATATACATCCTTGCTGGGGTCTCCTTCGGATCTTTTGTGATGCGGAGGATGAACCCCAAACACTAAGTTGGTGTACACCCAGTTCTCAGTGCATTTTCTCTTAGCCTCGTCTATGTTCATTTTCTTCCTTTTCCCTATTACTGTGAAGGAAAGATTGCTGAGATATAATGATACAAAAATAAAGGGCCAAATGCTTAGAACATAGTACTTGGGTTTTGGCTTTTTTTGAGACAGGGTTTCTCTGTAACAGCTCTGGCTATCCTGGATGAGGCTGGCCTCCATCCAACTCACAGAGATCCACCTGCCTCTGCCTTCCCAGTGCTGGTATTAAGGCATGTGCCACTACTGCCCGGTTACAATGTAGTACTTTTGAATGATCAGTCTAACCCTCTCTCTGGTTACCTTTTGAAAAACAGAACATTAGATGCTATCACTCCTGTAGCTAAAATCCTTCACTGGGAGCTGGGAAGATGTCTCTTGCTGCTCGTGAGAGACCTGAGTTCAAATCCCCAGAATCCATGTAAAAAGCTGGAGTCCAGCATCTGAAACCTGACACAGACTGGAGGACTCGTGTGTGTGTGTGTGTGTGTGTGTGTGTGTGTGTGTGTGTGTGTGTGTGTGTGTGTGTTGGGGGGATTGCTGGAGACACTGCAGGAGAGCAGGACACCCAACATCCTACTCTGGCCTGCACATACACATGCATGTGCATAGACTGTCTCCACACCTCCTTTGCTTCTGTAGTGTAGTCTTTTCTCTCAAGGAAAGGTGTCATGGCCCCTAAATACATAGGTCTCTTCCTAATTCCTTTTCCTCTTAGATCAGCCATTCCTTTGTCCTGGTAAACTCAGGCTTGGAGGCCCCGATCAAGATCAAAATCTGTTCTCTTCATCCCTACCCAGCCAAGCTTTGTCCTGTTTGTGCTGTCCTGGACTGTTGATGGCACATATAAAGGGCTTCCCTCTCACACTCTTCTGCTTGTGTGTTTGCTTGCTTGTTTCAGTGTTAGGGGTCAAGCCCAGGTAGGTCTCTCATGTGCAAGGCAAGAAGTCTCTACCAGACCTCCATTCTCAGTAATGACTGCCCTAAGAGAATGAGCTACAGTGGGAGGACTAAGGCTCCTGCACAACATGATCAGGAAATGGATTCAGACTTCAAGAATGACTATTTGCATACATTTACATCTGCATAAGACTTGTTTAGCCCATACATTCTGTTCCCAGGCTAGTTTCCAGTTTGGCTTGCTTCATTGTGTAGCCGAGGACTCCACCCGGGTTCCATGACTCAGCTGCAAGAGGGTGCAGGGGTTTTGGTGGGGAGGTGGGGTTGATTATCCTGCTGGGTGGCGGCTGTCAGACCTCTTCTAGGACGAGGACTGAAGGTAGCTAGCTGTATTCTCCCCAGAGGCCTTGTCACGAAGAGCAAGTGAAGAATGTGGGTGGGGGACTGTGAGAAAACTTAGGATTCACCAATGGCTGGTGGCTTGGTTGCTTGGTTGTTTTTTTTTTTTTTTTTTTTTTTTTTTTTTGAGACAGGGTCTCAAGTAGCCTAGCCTTGCCTGAAGCTCATGATCACCTGTCTCCACCTCCCAAGTGCTGGGATTGGCCACCAGGCCCAATTTGGCACCAGTAGTTTTGAACCAAATGATTCTGCCCTTTTAAAGCCTGTCCGTTTTTTTTGTTTGTTTGTTTTGTTTTGTTTTGTTTTGAGGCTTATTACTCTTACTAAAGGCACAGACAAAGATGGGGACGACTCTTTTTTTTTTCTTTTCTTTTTTTTCTTTTTGTCCCTTGTGGTACAGGGGATTGAATCCAAGACCTCATGCACACTAGACCAGCGCTTCCACTGAACTATATCAATGGAGTCTTTGAAATTCATTCATCAGTCCCTCAGACTACCATACAAATTCTTATGTCACAGATCTCTCTTTCCAAGTTGTCCCCTTCTCTTCCAGGTGAGGGAAGAGGCTAGGCTCCAAAGTGCCTGATTTCTCCCTGGTCACATTTATTTTTGCCACACTAGGGATGGAACACAGAGCCTTGTGCATGCTAGGCAAGTGCTCTACCCGTGAGCTACAGCTTCAGTCTCCTGACCATACTTCAGACTCAGCAGAAAGCCTTTCACCAGTTGTGAAGTTGGGCTCCTGTCCTGTCCCAGGAGGTCAGTCCCTAGGATGGAACCAGGCATCTGTATGAAGAAGATCCTCAGATAATTCATGTGGGTAAGCAAGGCACGAAAGCACCCCCTCATCACAGACCATCAGCCAGCCCACCCCTGCCCTTCCATCCCTGACTGTCTCCTTCTTCAACCCTACCTGCTGTGGTATTTGGAGAGCAAGGGTGGCTAGATGGCTCCAGCTCGGTCTTCCCACATCACCCAGGGCATCATCTTGTCCCTGGTGGGTCTGGAGGCAAGTTCTGCCAGTGCTGGTTTTTTCCCTTCTTGCCTCCAGCTGCTTTTAGCCTCTTCTGTCACTCTGTCCCCATTTCTAGTGTGCAGAGTTACTTGTTCTCCACTACTTACAGTCCCACATTTATCTTGCTCCCCACTGCACACCCTCCATGCCCAGCGTAGTGCCTGACGGGAGGTGCAGTTGTTGGGTGTCCTTGAACACTTCTCGAGCCTTACTCGATTCCCATTCAGGCTCAGCTTCCTCTACGTCCAGTTCACTTCCTCTCCTGCTTCGGCTTCCTCTTAAGCCCCCTCTACACTACTCCTATTTCCCAGTCCTTCTGGTTTGCCTTTATCTGGCTGCCCTTGTCTATCCAGAGTCCCCAAGGATGCTGAGCACGCTGAGGGAGGGCAGAGCCATGGTCTCTGTCCCCAGAAAGCTGCTGGGCAGCTTATAGAGAGATCTACAAGGCTCAGCAGTGTTCATGGCCTATAGTCTAGAAGGATAGCCTTTGTCTAAGGGCATCCTTGGGCTCCATACTGGTTCACACTCCTTCCTATGGCCCCAGCTTGACAGGATAATTCTTCAAACAACTACAGCCATCTTAGCCTTCTGAGGATGCTGACATTTGCCTTAAGGAGCTCCTCATGGCCGCTGTCTTTTCCTCCTCTGGCTTTCTCTTCCTTCATCCTCTCTCTACCTTTGGGGAAGACTTTCCCAGCCTGCTCTGCTTGCCTGATACACAAACCCTGACAGTGGCTTGATGGGAAAACTCTTGGTTTGAGTGAACCATGGTTCTTTTTCTCTTTTTTTTTTTTCTTTTTCTTTCTTTCTTTCTTTCTTTTTTCTCCTCTCCTGGTTTCCTCCATGATTTCTGCAGTCTGAGCCACCCCAGTCTTCCAGGAACACCAAAAGTAGACTCCCTGTTATGTTCTAGCTGTCCCCACTCTGCATCTCAGTGCACACATAAAGCCACCAAGTGCCCTTGTCACAAACCCTGGGATGCCACTTCTGTCCCATGCCCTGACTCCTCAACTCCCTTTACTCCTAGCCTTCCTGCCCAGGTTGATGGCTGCTGGCCAACTGCCACAGAATCTCTCAGCAAGGACATTCCAGCCATCCCTCCCATAGGTTCTTCATTCTTGCCTGCTTCTCCCTCTTGGCTAGCTCTGCTGGGTAGGATCTGTACAACCTCCAGAAGAAAGGGCAGAGAGAAGTGCTCTTTGGGCAGGTGGTGGTCCTCTGTAGCCTTCATGTTGTTGCCACCAGAGGGCACCCAAGGCATTTCCAGGAGCCTGTGACCACGGTTTCACCTGACAGCCACAGAGGCCCAAGTAACATGGTGGGTATTCAGGACTTGCTGTTGGCCAGCCTAGGCCCACTTCATCCCCAGCTGTGAGAGTTTTAGCGCCCCCACAAGAGACACCATAAGAAGAACCATTTATCTCCTCAGGAAAACACATCCCTACCAACAGCCTCTCAGTGTCCCAGAGAACAGAGTCCTGTCCACCGAGGGCTCCTA